TTAGTAAATTTACTAAGAAACTTGTATACTAATATGAAGCGGCGCTCCGGAACCCAACGGATCCCGTTTTCCTAGTTATAAATAAAGGCCTGTTGGCCCTTCGGGAAGAGAGTTAACACCCGATTTACTAAATAATAAAATACCTAAGTCATATAAATCATAAACTATAAACTACATACATTCGTTTATTAACCACTCGTCCAAATCTAACACGCCTCTTTCGATCCTAAAGTAACCTTGGTTTGGTTACACGGACCTTCCTTTCGGTTTTAGCGACTCGCCGATTTCAGGTCTGACATTTTGGTGGTGACTGTGAGATTCGAAAAAGAAGAATTTCCCAAATGACTAGTATATTTTGATAAAGAATAAATGAAAAGAAACATATACTGTAACAACGCAATATACAGCCAATGCCGAAGATCCAGAAAGGTTGTTAACCAGGAAGAATCCTGACCACTAATCCCTCCTAGAAGATTTCGAAGCTACGAGCCGACCCAAAAATCCATTCGAAGAGAAGTCCTATGTTCTTCTTGTAGAACAAAGGGGTATGTTATATCTAAGTGCCCGGCAATAATAAGGTTGGAAAGACAGTGTGCCGTCTTATTTAAAAGGCTTGCCAAGGAACAAGCCGCAGAAGTACAAGAAATAATCAACGAAGCATTCGGTACTTCGGAAATCCACGATGAACAAGTGCCGCAGGCCCTGGAATTTTTACTAGAGGTATTAGAAAAATGCTCCCGAAAGACCGAAGGCGAAGAAATAATACACCTGGGCGTCGATTTACCAGTTATTAAGCCGTTCACGGGTACCACCAGGAGCAAAAAGCCGGTAAAGAACCCCGAACCTCGATTAGTTAGGTTCCGGTATAAGAATCAAGAAAACCTAATGATAACAGAGGTCCTTGAAACGTACTACGACCCGGGAGTACCAGAGAAAGAAGGCCTGAAGCAAGAGAAAAACGCTGAGTCAGGTCTTGAGATAGATCTGATCAATTTAATTGATAGTTATCTCGAAACTGTGGATACTTGGATATCCGAACTAAAAAGCGAAAACGAAGAAAAAACGGACTACGTGAAAACCCGAAGAAATAGGAATCGGGAATGCCAAATGCGAAGCATACAATCGTAAAGATGTAATGAAGAACCTTGGAATGGATATCCCGGTAATACTAACCCAAGAAAGTTGCTCCAACGAAGATAAAATATCGACGAATACCTCTTGCAAGAACACTTCGGAGACTTCTCTGAATCTTGGATATAATATACTTGGACCCGAAGAAAAGAACCTAGAAGTAAAAGAAGCCAGAAATAAAGATAGTACCCCGGATAAATTGCTACAAGAATCGCTTACCATATACGAAGCTCCATTCGGAAAAATAGTGCAAGAGAAAGAAGAAACCCCGAAGCGAATGCCGTTCTGAAACTCGAAGTTAGCTGCTACCAAAATGGAATAGAAGTTGGAAAGGACAAGGATAAAGCATTCACTTACTATCAAAACCTCACCGATGTGGAGTTCGATAAAGGAACCTTCGGCCTCGATTGTTGCCCCGAAAATGGGACCGGAAAACCCCAAGTCGAAAAAAGATGAACCTGAAGCACTTGAAAACTATGAAGTGCCCACCGAACCTAACCTTGAAAAAGAAGAGGAAAAGTTTAAACGATGCGATAAAGATGAAATCGAAATCGAAATAGAAGAACGAGTTGAAAAAGGCGAAAGTAAGGCATTCACTTACTATCAATGTTCCGCAGATATGGAGCTCAGTAAAAGAACATTCGGTCTCAATTATTGCCACGAAAATTGAACCGGAGACAAAGCCCGTGAAATGGAATATACTGAAGAAACCCGAGCCGAGAAAGGTGAAATCGGATTCGAAATGGACGAAAACGAGGCATTCATAAACTTAGGACCCGACGACGTAGGCATTGGTGAAAACGACGAAGGCATTGGTGTTGAAAAGACCGAGCCTAAAGCACTCGAACAGGCATGTAAGACCTGGATGAAAAAGGTCGAAAAGTTTAAAAACGTAACTAAAAAGTCTGAAGGTAAAGATATGAACGACCCAAGAAGCATGTAGAATATGAGCCAAGTACTTTGAACCTCACTTGTGAAGTCTGGATAAAGAAGACTGAAGAGTTCAAGGTGATGGTTAAAGACCGATATGAGCCAGAAGCCCCAAGAGAAGACCAAGAACGACCAATGCGATTACTCCAAGGTCTGAGGAATGAGCCCCAAGAATTGAATGCGACGAATAGCACTCAAACTAAAGAAGAGATGTGTGCATACGAACCCAAGAAGAAATCCTGGTTAGAAAGGCTCTTTGAAAGAAAAATTGTAATCGAAACGATAGTACGTGAAACTCTCCGATACTTACCAACGCAATGGTCATGCACTCTGATCTCCGATCCTGGAGGAAAACATAGCCAAAAGAACTCTCAATCGTATTCTATGAAGCTCCGACCCGACCTCCGCCTATACGCCATTCGAATTTTATACCTGGAGGTATAAAGCAAGCGAGGGAGAAATGTGAGACCGGAAACGTTACCTGACGGCAGGCATGTGCCTTCGTGACCTGGGAACTCCAAATTAGGGTTTACCGGCGGAATTCCAGGAATTCCCGGAACTACGATAATTACAGTAATATGGGGAATTCTGGGAAAACGGCGTATTCTGTATGTAAAAATAGATAGTAAATTAATTATAAATAAAGGCCTGTTGGCCCTTCGGTAAGAGAGTTAACACCCGATTTACTAAATAATAAAATACCTAAGTCATATAAATCATAAACTATAAACTACATACATTCGTTTATTAACCACTCGTCCAAATCTAACACGCCTCTTTCGACCCTAAAGTAACCTTGGTTTGGTTACACGGACCTTCCTTTCGGTTTTAGCGACAGACTCGCCGATTTTGGGTCTGATAACGTATTAAATTTTTGCCACGAGGTTAATCATTAGTTATGACAAGTATGACATAAATTAGCAAACAAAAAAGCCACAGGGCATGCTATATATTATTTATAAATTTTTATACTATACCCAAATTTGTAATGTATATTTTCTCGCGTTCAACTTGATTTTTCTTTCTATTTTTTCGTGTCAACACTGATTTTTTTTTCCTCTATTTTCTTCTTAGTAAGTATCTTTTATGACGTTACATATAAATTTGTATTAACGGTATCCTACGCCATATGGTTCTGCCCTTTGGCCGATGTTTGGAAGAGATGCATCGCTATGACTCATTTACGTGGCTCTTAGTGCCTACGCCTGTCCAGTATACCACCACTAGTGTCCTACGCCCCTATAGTCCAGCCCTTTGACCGATGTTTGGAAGGGGTGTGTCATGGGATAATCACTATGACTCATTTATAATGGCTTTAGTGCCTACGCCTGGACCCCCTTCCAGCAGTGATGGTAAATGACTTGAAATGACCCAAATGACCCAAATGACTGGTGACCAGTCATTGGGTCATTTCAAGAACCCGATGACCTGCTATGGTCATTTGAAATTATCTATTAAAAATGCGAAATAACGTGCAGGAGCGTTGTTTCGAATTTTGGCCTAAATTATGCTTAATTTAGGCCGAAATTCGAAATTACACCCCTGCGCATTATTTCACGCCTATACGGTAGTTATTTAATTAAATATATAATTTTTTATCTAACCCTGGTTGCACATAAAAAACAATCTATACAGGGCCGTGCAATAATATTTATTTTAAGAGTAAATAAATATAACATCATCGATGATCTTATACTTAAATAAGTACAACTAATAAGTATAGTTTCAATTATTTAAGGTATAAATTATTTCCAAATCAATTTAAGGCAAGTTAAAGCATTTCTTTATTTTATTTAACTGCTAAAATTCTCAATTCCTACGATTTTTAATGCAAATATAAACTTCATTACATTTTATTGAATTTATTGAAGGATAAAAGAAATAGGCAAATCTAATGAATTATTAAATAATTCCAATAAATTCCATTTTGCCAATGAATCATCTGCTGGGTGAGTAGTGCACCCACCAAATTCAAATTCAAATTCAAGTAATTCATCATCTACCAATTCACCATTCTCTAACCGATTTTCACTGTCTAACATTCCAACCCAGTTCTCAATTACATTTGACCAATTTTCTTCTTCATTGAAAGTTTCAGCCTCATCAACTGTATCTCCTTTGGTTGTTTTGGTTGCTTCGGTCATTTCGGTTGCTTCGGTCACTTCAGTCGCTTACTTCAGTCGCTTCAGTCACTTCAGTTACTTCACTTAGTGGATTATCGATGGTTAATGAACAAGTTTCGCTATTACTTAAAGACAATTCTTTTAATTCTTGTTCATTATCATCCTAAGACCAATTTCAACATCACTATGTTTTTGCTTGCTTAGTATGTCACCACGCAATTGGCTCATTGCTAGCACTTTTTCATACTTAATAAAAAATTTAAATTAATGCTATATACTATAAAAAATTAAAATGAAATAAATATTTGTATATACCGGTAGACAATTTCAGCATTTTGTATGCAAAAAACCCATAGTTGCTATAACCTTTCAACCGAAGCTAAATTAACGCATATTCCAAATAATTGCAAGGCAAGACAAGACAATTCTGGCGCAATACTCTTTGCTGAATCCCAAAAATTGATAACATTTTTATCGAACTGACTATAAGTCTCGTTACTAAAAGGAAATGCCTCTCTTTAATATGACAAAAATTTGCGTAAAATGCATGTTGGTACTTTCTCAAACCATACATGGTAATAGTAATACAACCATTGACTAAAATGTGTATAGGAAAGGCCAGGAACACGAGAAGAAAACTTGAAAAGCCGATATTTTGGATGCAAAACAAATAAAAGTAAAAGTAGTGGTTGCTTCCATTGAGCCCACCGATTTTCTAATCGGGCGACCATATGATCAGCAAAATCTTCATCTTTATGGTTTGAAAAAACCTTAATAAGCTATCCAAAACAATGTACGATTTCATACAGTCTTGCAACATCTTTCTGGAGCTTATTTAGTACATAGCACAAAGGATATAGCAAGTCCTGAAGTTCATAAAGTTGAATCCAAAAATCGGAACTTTGTATGATTAAAATAATATCGGGTAGAAGCATTTTGCTTGTTTTAGAATTTCCTGCTATAAATCATTGCCGTGGAAGTCCACTCTGAGAAATACTAACAAATCCGATTCTAGTGGGTGAAAATTTTGTCGCAAGTGTCTAATTAAAAATATATAGAGCTTTTTATTAGAATATTTTAATGTGTCAAAATTTTCTTTGTAAAAAAAATTTAATTTATTATAAAATAGAGATAGATTTTATACATTCACATGATTCCTTAATCGTGCGCATTAATACGCATATTTCGGAATCATGTGCATTTTTATCCTATCTAAATTTTATATAGAAAAACTGAATGTCTTGAAAAATTCTATAAAGAAAATGAATGAGCATAAAAAAAAGCAAAATTGGAATAAAAATTTGGGCATGTATCCGATATTTTCCAAAAATCAAAAAAATATATTATTACCTTAAGCACAGCCTCAGTTTTCAATATAGAATGAAAACAAAAGTAAATGCTGTTCTAGCGCATCTCAGCCAGGAAAAGAAGAGAAACGGTTTGTCCATAACATGACCTTTGCTTATCTCATAGTAATCCAGTAAAATAGGGAGTCGAGTGAAAATAGCTTACAATATGTATTGAATTTTTTAATGTTCTTTTATATGCATCTGATTCTTTGAAAATATTGCTGACAACTAAGTTCATTTGATGTGCCATACAAGGTATAAAAACCTTATTAGGATATTCGATTCTTAGTTGTCGTCTATAGAAAAAAAAAAGTTCAGATCCATATATAAATATAAATACATTAGTATATATTTAAATGTACCTTGCTGTCACATACTTGCCAGCTGAATCTGATATGTAGTAGTTAATTCGGATGCCTTCCTTTTCTGCATTATTCATTATACTTTTAATAAGAATTTTTACATTTTTGGTTTTTGACTATTGATTACTGATATTACATGCGTTCCAAATTAAAGGTAAACCTTTAGAAGTAATTAAGACAATACCAAAAAGGTGCTCCTGCTTTATATTTGTCCAGCTATCGAAGGCTGCAGTTACACCAACCCCATCTGCACATGCATGTTCTAAAATATCCTTTGTTAATTTCGTTGAAACCTTTAGGAGAATTCGGTTACTTATTGCCCGCCGATTAGGTAGTTTCATAGTTGGTATTATAAAATTAAAAACTTCTTTCGTTTCTTGGTTTTCCATAAAGGTAAATTAAAGACCATTTGATACAATCATACATAAAATCAAATTCTCAAAATGCTAATTATTTTTTTTAGATAGTTGACATATAATACAATTATCTAAAAATGTTTGTCTTTTTTTCAAAGTGGAGGAGCTTGCAGATATAAATTTATTAGACGATAAAATGGATTCATTAGTAGATGAAGAACGTGACATTGATATTTCAAACATGGTAGAAATATTGTTTTCGCATTCAGAAATGTTTTTGCCTGCTATTAACATTAATAATTAATATATTGTACAAGCAATTATAAAATGAACTATTTAATCTAATTACCTTCACTGTTATTCTTTTTAGCATCCTCAGGTACTGAGCATGCAACAATCTCCAAAACTTCATCTGCGGCATATTGTTCTTTAAATTTTGAGCAATTTCAAAGATGACTTCAACATAATTTTGCCTTATTAAAAACAAAGTATTTAGGTTTTGTAATCGCCACAAATAAGGTATACTTTCATATACATGAAAGGCAGACTGCCTTCTTATTCGCTTTTGGACTATCAGGTTCGACCAAGTGAAAAAATTCCAAGAAGTTATGATTTTTCTTACCCATTGTAAAAAAAAGTTATTATATATCAAAATTTCGTAACAATCTACATATTTAACAAGATAAAAATATCCAATGTAACAATGCAGCACAAATTGTTTTTCCATTTATGAAAGCCTCTCCCTTTTTTTTTCTTTTTTTTTTCTTTTTTATCGCACTACTAACTAACTACTTATACTATATGAGTTTTTAATTCCAAATTACAAAATCCATTATTTTTTTTTTTAATAATAAAAAAAGTAACCATTATTGCAATTAGGCACCTTATATATTTGTACAATTATGAGTATCAAAAACAATCGCTCAATTATTCATATTATTCATGTCGATTATCTATTATTCTATTCGTACATGATTTTCTGTAGTACAGTATATATATGGTTTCTCATGCTAACTGAAAAAAGTCGGTTGGGCTATTATTAACTTAATTTGTTCAAGCTTTAAAGTTATTTAAGTTCTAAATTTTAATTATACGGGTTTTTATGACCAATAGATAGGGATGAAAAATGCTGTAATATTACATTATTTTATGAAATTTTATATAATCTTCTAAAATCAAAATTACAATTCTGAATATAATAATGGATATCTATTAGTGCTGGCTAAGCTTTTGTAATATCAGTAAAATTATCATGTAACAATGCGCTATTCAACGTAAAGTTATATTACAATTTCATAAGTTACAATGTAATTTATATAAAACATAACAAAGTAATTTATATAATACATCACTGCCAATAGGATGTTAATTCTATATGCGAAATGATCAATGACTCAAATGACCGTAGTCATTTCTAGTCATTTGGTCATGAGTCATTTGCAAATAACCTTAGATTTGAATAACTAACAATGACCGGTCATTTTGAGGTTATTTTGGGTTATTAGGAAAATTGGCAAATGACCAGATCATTTACCATCACTGCCTTCCAGTATACTAGTAGCAATTACATAATGTTTTTTCTTATATTTTCTGGATTTCTTAATAATATATATATAGTTTTTTTTTTGGTTTTTTTTTAGATATCAATTTGTCGTTATATTTTGTGATTTAAAGATGATGATGATCCTAAAAGCTGGAGTGCTTCGATATTTGAAAGATCAAATATCATTTACTTCGAATAGTAAACAAAAGATCTTGGATGAATTTGTAGAAGTCTTCAAGAAAATTAGTATTCTACTTTTGATGCATACTGGAGTAAGAAAAAAACCTCAGAAAATTATGTGAAAATGTATATGAAACATTTCAAAAAAAAGATATTCAAGATTTTTGCAATGATATTAAAAAAAAGCAAGAATACTGGAAGAAATAAACAAAATACTTTTGAAATGAGTTCTTAAATTAGAAGAAAACTCCAATAATAAAAAAAGAGATTGTTGCTATAAATATAACCTTGAGTAAGTAAATTATAGCTTTTTCATAACACAGGTTTGTCATATTGATTGTGATATAACCTTATTATTTTATAGAAAAATCAACCAGGAGTTATATAAAAATATAGAAATGAAATTGCTAAAAAGCAACAACCAGGTAGCTTCTTTTTTTCTTGACATGTTTCCAATTATAAGATTAGAATATTAAGATTGTTGTTAATTATTACAAGGCACTAGAAAGTTGAAAAGTCAAAAGAGAATAACAGATAAAATTAATATATTAGAAGAAAGCAATATCTTTAATAAGTTCTTGATATAAAACAATGGCAAGGTCTCAATGATTTTAAAATGGGATTTTTTAAAAAATTAGTAAACTAATTGTTCTTGCATTTAATCGTTTAGGATGAGAGAAATAAGAGTATTCAAATTCCCTTTTTACAATTTGGTGGCACAAGCGGTTAGTTGTTAATTGAGGACTTAGTAGAAAATTTTTATATTGTTTTCCCTGGGCCAAAGTTTGAATTGCCGATAAAACTTCAGGATTGGAAAATTGAAAACTGCTATCAATATTATCAAGCAAATCATAATTTCATTTCTGCCATCAGAAAATTTTTTCATCAATACATTTTCATGTGATACATTATGTAGGACATGCATAAAAATGTGTATCTATTGAAAATCTAGAAACATTTCACCATAAATTTGATGATAACTTTAATGAAGAGAATCACATTGTAATAGGCCTAAACCTACACATTTTAAATATCAATATGTTCACAAATCGTGGTGGACACTGAAAAATTATCCATCCTCGAAGTAATATCATATTAAACTGTTTGCTAGAAAGTAAATATAATATAATATTAACATAGAAATAAACAATATCAATGAATTTGAATTCTTCAATCAATCTTCTGTTTAAAAAATTTTACTATATACAAGCCAATATAGACATATAAACAGATGTGTATTAATTTTATATAATATGTGATCAAATAATTATACATGTATAATAAAAAAGCTTTTTGATAAATTTTTGCTGATCACAAAAACATGTGCTTTTAAATTTACGAATAGCATATATCAGTATAAAATGAAATTTGACGCAGAACATCATAACAAAGTCAAATAGATGCTGGGCTAATATACCGCACTACTACTCAGGGAAAATTCTATTTTAAGTTAGGAAAATATGAAGTTGACAAGGTTATTAGAGACTGAACCAGAAAATGTTGATTAATTAAGAACTCGAGAAAAAACATATTACATGCTTAATGACTTTAAAAATTCACTTAAAGATTTAAATAAAACATTAAAAATTGACCCAAATAATGTAGAGTCTCTAAGGTGTCAAGGAGAAGCTTATTATAGGTTAGGAAAATCCAACGAACCAGCCAAATAATCCTTTTGCAATAAGATCTCAGGACAAACATATTATGCGTTAAAAAACTATGAAAATTCTCTTGAAAACTTAAATAAATCATTAGAGTTTGAACCAAAGAATGCAATTGCACTAAGTTCTCAGAGGACAGACATATTATATACTAGATCAGTATGAAAAATCTCTCGCAGATTTAATCTAGATAATGAAGATTTAGAGGACAAATATATTACAATTTAAACATTTATAATGAATCTTATATAGATATGACAAAGTCATTGAAGCTTGACCCTAGTAACGTAGAGTTATAAAGATATCTAGGTTATTCTTATTTTAGGCTGAAACGATATAAAAAGTCTCTTAATAATTTAACAGTTATTAAAAATTGACTCTAACAATTCAGTTATTCTAGGATTTCTTATTATGAGCTAAAAATGTATGATGAATCTTTTAAAAGTTTGACATGCTCATTAAAAATTAGTCAGATAATTTTGATATATTAAAAACTCGAGAACTGGCTTATTTTTTCCAAAATCACTATTTCTTATTAAATTACTATAGAAAAATAATAGAGGAATTATTTGCATATATCAGTTTCGTGTAACTCATGTACATCAATTTTTTTTTATCCAATGAAATTTCAGCGTCAGTTAGTAATATTCAAATTCGATAATTATTTGTGTACATCAGATTTGCGATGTACATCAAATTTTATAAACTACGTAAAAATTGCATAATGCTTTTACTTTGATCTTACTTTGATCTTATGTTTATCGTTGACTTTATGTTTACTATTGGCCTTGTATTCATCGTTGATCCTGATCTTATATTCTTATACTTATTTAGTCAATTTTACATTCATTATTAATCTTACAATATTTGCTTCCATTTTCATTACTATTGACCTTGTATTCATCATTGATCTTATATTTATAATTGATTTTATATTTATCATTAATCTTACAATATTCGCTTCTATTTTCATTAATCTAGTTTTATATACTTTCATTGCTATTTGGCTTCTTTTTTTATTCATACTTGCCTTATTTTCATTCTATGTTATATACTGTATAACGATTTTTGTAATCTATATAAATACTAATACCAATAATATTCTTATTCCTGAAAAAGGAAATACTTTTTCTACTTTTGGGAATGCTCGTGCCTTTGTAGAAAATTATGCAGCACAAAACGATGGTATTACAATTTTGGGAAAGACAATCAAAAATTCAGAAGATAATGGTTATAGGCAGACATTTTTTTGTTTGTGAAAAACAGGGAAGCTATAATGGAAAAAAAGAGACATACACTACTAAGTGAACAGGTTGTCAGTTTGTTATCGAATTTAATTATTGTAAGTGCTCAAAGGAATTTGCTATAACCAAATTATGCTTGGAGCATAATCATGTTATTTATCCTGATGCTAGAAAGTTCAGTATCAATATGCATAAAATGGATCAGAATGAGCTAGACATAATTGAAGATCTTCACAGTAAGGGACTTCGAACGAAAGACATTTACACTGTTTTAGTATCTGTGAGCTCAAAGTATATGCATAAACATGATGTTTATAATGCTGTTAGTCATCAATGGCAGCAAAAATTGCAAGGGCTAAATGAAATTGAGATGCTGCTTAAAACTTTAAAAAATAATGAAAATATTATCGCAAGCATTGCTACTAAACCTGCATATAACAATGAGCATGATCAAGATGGATCATTTATTCAAGCAATCCTCTGGACTCATCGAAATGCATTTTCTGAGTTTGCAGTAGCGAAGGATATTTTGGTTGTTGATGCAACATATAAAACCAACAGGTTTTTTTATTTTTATTTTTTTTATTTTTTATTTTTTATTTAAGATTATATTCATTATGACTACTTTTACTTTTGGTTATAGTGATATTTGTATGTAACTTCGAAACTTTCAATTCTATATTTTGATGTGAAAATGCTTAATATCTGGATATACCCGACAGTTTTTTTTTTTTTTAATTAGAAAGTGTCGATATAACTGGAGTTATGTATATATTATAACAAGCTGTTTAAGTAATAGGTTAAGATTTTATAATATAAGTATAGAAGTCGTGATTTTTATTAATTATTGAATGCAATTGTTAACTTCTTGACTTTAGATCAATATTTATATACTATTTAGCACTTACTTGTTTATTATTCTGTACATGGTATTGTTTTTTTTTCTTTTACTTTATATTTTTTTTTACTTTATATTATTTATTTATTTACTAATAAGAATTATTCTTATTTTTTTAATACAAATTTGAAATGCCACTAATCGTTATTTGTAGCGTCGATCAATTTGGATTAACGTACCCTTTAGCTTTCTCACTTGTCTATTCTAAAACGAAAGACTTTTACTGCTAGGTATTGCAACAACTGTATAAGGTTCTAACTATTTTAACAGGTGATACGTATATAAAAACGATTATAACCGACTAAGAGTTGGCTCTTATAGCTGCAATATATATTGTATTTCCTAATACAAGACACCAGCTATACACTTGGCACATTTTCAAAAATATTAGAAACAAGCTTAGAGGCATTGATATTGATGAATTTATTCGGGCTTTTCAAAAACTTGTATATGATGATTTTTCAGAAGATCAAACAGAACAAGAAATTACAGAGCTATGGGAACGATTTCCAAGTGCAAAAAAGTATATATGCAAACATGGATGTTGCATAAAGAAAGTTTGCTTGCAATGCACACAAAGGAAAATATGAATCTTAATATCAGGTCAAGCCAGCGCGTTGAGAGCCTGCATAGCCAATTAAAAAGTGTTGAAAGTCACATTACTCCAATTGATAAGTAGGAAAAAGATTCGTTATATTATTTAATTATTAGACTAATCAATCAGCAACTACTTAAAAAAAAAAGTTAGTTATATGAAAAATATATAAGTTATATTGATTAACGCTTCTTTATCCCTGATAAATCGCATATTAGTTATTTTTTTATTATTATTATTATTATTATTTTTTAATTAAAAAATTTTAATCGATTCTGATTCTTATTTATAGGTTACTTTCAATAATTCAGCAACAACGTTAAAAACACACACACAGAAATTTATATATAAAACATTTTTGCATCAAAATAGGCACACACAAGATAATAAGAATATAAGTCTAGAAAAGTTACGTTCAATATATTCACAATATGTATTTGAAACCTATATAAAAAAGCAACGAGATCTCGTAAGATCTGGGGAATATGGAGTTCTTAAAAGCGATGCTAATATGTATGATGTAGTGCATATCGATGATCAAGTAATGAGGACGTATATAGTGCAAATCAGAACACCAAGTACTTGCACATGTTTGTATTCACAGCACACGAGGACTCCATGCTAGCATATAATTATAGTATACTTATTGTATATACATACTTATGTACCACAAAGTGAGATTCATGAACGTTGGCATGTGCAGTACACAACAAAAATTGATCATAATTCAAATTCTGTTCCCCAACTTGCTATGCAGATTTTCAATAAGCTGCCAGAGTGTCACCATAGTAATCTATTAAGCCTTATACCAGATTTTAAAGGATGGTAAAATGCCAAAGTTTTAAAATTAATTGACTATTTCGCAGCAGGGTAATTTTGAAATGACTATTGTTGATAGTGCTACAAATTATAAAGAAATTAAGATTCCTAAGATCAAGCGTAAGCGTGGTCGTCCCTCTAATAACAAGCATATCTGCAGTACTTTTGAAAATGTTGTTAAAAAACCTAAAGTCGAGAAATTGGATAATAATGATGCAACAATGCTTATAAAGCTTGACTCACGTATTTATCAAAGCATAGTATCAGAGGTATATATGTCTAAATTACCTATTTATTTATTAATTAGTTACTAAAAATTACTAAAATTAGTTCTTATAGTTGCGGCTGAAATAAGGTTTTTTTTTTACTAAATTCATTCACATAATTTTAACTTTTCCAATACACTTATTCCCACTAGCAATATATATTTTAGAAAATAAGAGATCAGATTAGTATAGGTGACACTTAATCAATTTATTATAACTCTATATTATATCAATAGGTGTGGCCTATACTATTTTGATCTCGATTTTTTAAAATTAATTTAAATATGGGGTCTTTGCCTTGAAAATGACCTTACGGTACGTAATATCGTAAGGTTATTTTTAAGGCAAAGACCTCATATATCAAAATTACGTGAATACTGTATCCTGGGTAAATGCAAATAGAAATTTTTTAAAAGATGTAACTTATATATATTGGTTGCATAAGCAACAAATATATATCAGTTATGCTCTCTCAATAAATTTCTCTTAGATATGATTACCTTGAATATAACTATACTAGAATATAGCAATGGGTAAAAAATTTTTCGAGGTTACTTTTTCAAAAAGCTAATTGTAATGCATATGTAATTACAGGTATACGATTCACTTGGAGATAGTCATTGCAGTTTTTGATCATTGGCTGTAGCTATATTTCAAGAAGAGGAAAAATGTCAAGATATCAAGAACAAAATGAGATCTCAACTAACTAAGAATCAATCTTTATACAGCAGCACACTTGGATATAACACAAATCAACTTATCATATCTTCAGCCAAGATGTTTACAAGAATACCGGTTTTATACACCAGAGTGTACACAACTAGCATCAGATATATTTAATGTGCCGATAGCAATATTTGGTGAGATGTTATATCAAGTCTTCTTTTTTTGCCATTTGACAAAAAACCTGTTATTCTGCATTGGCATGGGCATAATCATATTGTGTTTGTTAAACTCAAAAAAATAGAAATATACAAGTTCCACCTTTAAGTCCTCAGTATATTTTTAATTGCCGTCGCTTAGATTTTTCTGAGAATTGGTATTCTCTCTTTGTATAGAATTATGTTTTGTCTATTGCTTTATTGACTTTTTTTACAGAATTGAATTGATTTGTTATTAACAATGATAACTCAATACTTAGCTACTAGAGAAAATATTTAATAACTTAGTAAGTATTACGAAAAGTCTGCATATAAAAAAAACAAATATGTATGTGTAATTGAGAATTAAAAAAAAAAAAAGAAGATTATTATTGTAAGGCAATGCAATACAAATACTTAATAAAATTTAAATGAAATTTGCTTAATGCTAAACCAGTTTCTATAATTCTATCCCGTCTCATGTACTTGTAAATATTGTATGTATAATTAAAAGCTAGCGATCGAAATATTTTGTGTGCTAAGAGATTTTGAGAGTACGAAACTCTGAAAGTTAAAAATCAAATAATTAAAATCGATGTACATGAAAATGATGTATACGAAAATGATGTATGCAAATAATTATCGAATTTGAATATTACTAACTGACGCTGAATTTCATTAGACAAAAAAAAAATTGATGTACGTGAGTTACATGAAACTGATGTACGCAAATAATTCCTCAAAATAATATCGCACTACTTTTTATTTCTCTTGAAGTATCTTATATTTTTGAATTCTATAAACTGTATATGCTTTATTTTTTATATACTAGTATGAAAAAATTATCATATCGATATTTTTTTTAGCATATTTACTATATATATGTTGATCAAAAAAAAAAAAAAATTGAAATAAAATATCTGGGTAAAAATTTTCTTGCCAGGTACAATTTCTAAGCTAAATATAAAATTTTGATCACTCCAATTTTTTGTACTAGTAAAATGTAAAATTCACATTGTTACTTTTTGAACGTATATTTCATAAAGCATATACAGTTTACAGAATTCAAAATATAAGATACTTCAAGAGAAATAAAAAATAGTGTGATATCACTAATTTTAAAATACCTCAATAAGATCTCGAGGATTGGTCTCTTGAAGACTTAACGATGTCACTAGAATTCGAAGAAAATAACAAATTTGTACTAAAAACTCAAGAAAACCTATATTATATAGTAAGTTAAAATGCTATAGAGAATCTCTTTCGGATTTTTCTAAATTAAGTATTAATCCAGTTGATGCGATAATTTTAGAATAACGATCGCAAGCTTATTTTTATTTAAAAAATTATAAAGAATCTCTTAATGATTTGATAGATTCATTAAAAATTAATCCAAAACACACTATTGCACTATTGGTCAAGGACAAACTTATTTCAAGACAAAGAATCTAAACAAAGTTATTAGATATTGAATCAGAAAATATTGATGCATTAAAGACTCGAGAGCAAGTGTATAATATGCTTGAAAAATATGAGAAATTACTTAGAGATTTAAATAGAGTATTAAATATTGACCAACATAATGCAGAACACCTCTTATCTAAGTGTACCTGGAATGGTTGTATAGACGTGACAAACAAATGCTCAACTCAATAAACACGTTTGACATGACAATAAACACATAGTGAGCAAATGAAATATATAAATAAATATTAATAATTTAGCCCTATAAATTAATAAAAAGTAGCTGCTATGACATTGTCGCATTAAATCAGAAAAGGATGAATGTAAACCTAAGATTTAGAAATATTGAATAATTATAATTATATCTAGTTATTAGATTCAGATACTTAAATAAATAGTCAAAGAAAATGGAGAAAAGTTCCAATTTACTCCGAAGACAGCTTTCATATTAAGCTAGTTATAATGCTGCATATTTTATGAGCAAAACATTAGGGTGATCATCAAACTAATAAAATCAAACTATAAGTAGGCGTACATATAAAATTTACTATGTAAGGATTTTTTACAGGTTTTTTTAACAATTTTGGAAATTTCAGAAAATTCATTTTTTATAAATTATTTATTTATTTATCGAACAAATTATTTCTTTTATTTATCAAACAATTTGTTAAACAGTTTATTAGCTTCAATTTCTCCAAACTTTGCCTGTTTTTCATTATCGTGTTCGTCAATTTTTTTATTTTTTTATTTTTTCTTTGAGCCGCCAAATCTTTGTCAGATAGGGATATTCGTTTAACACCTGAAAGATGTAGTTTGGCTTTTTTGGTTTCGATGTTCATATTTGTATGACACTTAAGATCATACTTGTTGAATATACCCTCGACCTGTTGCTAATAAATGACGATATAATAAATTCGACACTTGACGAATTCATAAAGTAAAGGAAATTTATAGATTGGTAAGTTAAAATCAGCAAAGTCAAGTAATTCTTGTAGAAATAATGGATCTTCCATTGCTTGTAACAAGCCAAAGTCATTAGAATTAGATTGCTTAATATCTAATTCTAAAATAGATGTATAACATAATTCCTTAAGACTAGGAATTTGGCTTCTCCATTGCTTTAACGTTATATCCAAATAGCTTCTTGCAAATTCATGACCATCTTTACCATCTAATCGACAAACACTTAACGGAAGGTGAATCCACATACTTAACCATTTTTCTAATGATTTTATAGCCTTATCAACACCACCTTCTAAATCATTAAAAAATTGTTCAAACTGTTCATTGTCTAGAATATTAGTAGCATTCCACAACTCATTATCAAAAAATAAACAAATATTATCTCTAATATTATACAATTTTCCTATCCATTTAACATATTCGTCTGACATCTCATGGGCTTGCCGGCCAGGTGGAAGCAGTAGTAATTGACCATCCGATTGAAGAATTCGCGATTCTTTATCTGACCCAATAAAAAAATTCATTATTGGTTCATAAATTTTTTTACCAAACTTTGCAAGATATTCGATTTGTATTTTTAAACTCGGATCCGCGAGCCATTGCTGAAGAAGTTTCCACTTTTCAAGGTATAGTTTTGAAATTTTTTTTTGTGAACTTAGATTGTTTAAAAACCAATTAGTAAATTTCTTTACATATTCTCTCCTTTCCACTAGTTGTCTTGCCGCTTGCAATTCGTATAACCATTGTTGTCGTAAAGGTTTTTGAAATTGAGTTAAACAAATGCCAAAAAGTTTAAAATATAAATCAAAAATGTAAGACAACTTCATATTCATTGGATTATCTTTGTTACTTTCACTATAGCCGTTATGCAATTTCCAAATAAGGTAAAGTAAATTAAATGGATGCTTTTGGGTAGAAAATCCTTTTTCAACTTTTAATTTACCGAATGCAGTATTTTCAAAATTTAACATCATTATGTGTGCCAAGTGAAGTCCACATGATATTCAAAATGAATTAGAGCTAACCTCTTTATTAAATAATACCACCGCACCATTTTTGCAACCTGACATATATGCCGTATTATCAGTTGTTCAGGTTGAACATTTAGTTGGATCTAACTGATATTGGTTACATGATTTAAGAACGGCATTTGCAACTGATAATCCAGAATATTGGGATAAGTCTTCAAGTTCTAATAAGGAAACCTTTGGTTCATTAGCAGCTAAATCCCAATACATAAAACAAATAACAAAGACTTTACTATCACCATGTGTTGACTCGTCCGCCATAATTCCAAAGGTAAACCACTTGGAAATTTTAGAAATAGCACATTGCTGAATTATATAAATATTCAAAACATCTTGATGCCATCTAACAAGTGTACTAACAGAGAACCACTTATCTGGCTCTTCATCTATTAATCATTCAATTACTTTTTTTGTGCAGGTTACAGCAGATCGATAAGACATTTGACCAATTTTGCAAATTTGTATAGCCATTAAAACAGTTTTAGAATTATACTGTTTTTTATTTGTCATAAGTTGATCTTGAATGGCTAACTTTAATTGTTTATTAGTGATCGTAGGTGGTTTACGTGTTACAGAACGAACTAAAGAAATTTTTTTTTTGCGAACTTGTTTGAATTTATTAACTCTGCCATTTAAAGATTTATTAATTTTTTGTAAACGATTAATTTTTCGAGCTGATGGCTTTCGAGATTTAATACGACTATTTTTTGAACAGTATAAAGACGGTTCAATAAAATTATAAGCCTTCTGTTGTATATACTTCGAAAAAATCTTGACAGTTTTAGGTCTTTTACTGTATTTTATACGATTTAATAATAATATTTCAAGACTCAACTCGTTATTATCCATATTTGTTGTTATATTTAATAATGAACTCCACACTTGTAATTGTGGTTGGAGAAATTGTGCTTGTACAATTTTTTTGATTACGTTGTTAGAATC